TCTCACTGGTACCCCGCCAGTATACCTATATTACAGGCGGGGTTACCATGTCATTTCTACCCATTGAAAGATAAGTCGCCAACGTGTACTAACAGAGCATGCGGAGCTATCAATCCTATTTCATCACTTTAAATTGTAGGTAGGTAAAAAATATTGTTACCTCTCAGACTAAATAAAACTGTATAAAAATCTAGCTATCTCTCTACATCCACTGGACGGATTTCGATGAACCTTGGCATAATAATACATCACACACACAACACCAGGCCGACGTCATATGTAAAGTGCATTAGTGTGTTTGTTTACATGGCCTTATTTTTTGCACAGATATAGTTGAGGGGCCAGAGGTGCAAGAATGCCCTCTTTGGATGATAGGTATATATTGTCACACCTTTTACGGTTTGGTGTAGGCAGAAATCACTAGGCGTTACTTGAGTCTGTCTTGACATAACCTCTCTAGCTTTGTCCGTTTTCATACGCCTCTTTTGTTGACTGAAATGTTGACTTTTTGGAAATATACATATTAAAATTTATTGTTTTTATATAAATAAATAATCCTTCCTTAAGTAAATATTATAGAAATAATCTGCACTTAATTGACATATTACAATTATTTATGATTTAATTTTATGTTTATTAATTCTTTATATATATATATGTTCATCCAAAAATATATTAAATAATGCTTGACACAGTAGTAAATATACTTGGCTTGTCTTATTATCATTACAGCTAAGTATATATATAAATGTATATATGTATATATATAAATAAAACATAAATATAGTATAATGTAAACAAATAGCTGAAATTTTGTATTAGGTAGATACATATATTATTGAAATATGAAAATCATATTTTTTTTATGCAATTTAGAATTACAAACAATACAATTTAATACAGTACAGTATAGCCGTGTGGTCCCGACATATTAATTGGTAATAAGTACGTGATTATTTAATAGTTTGCTTTTATTTTTTCTTGAAAATACAGCAGAGACTTAATTACCTGGCTCTCAGTTATACGTTATTATCTGGATCGTCAGCTGCAATCGAATTATTTCGTAAGAAATATAATGCAGCAAGTCAGTAAAAATACCGAGTGGTCCCGGCGTACAATAAGCTACCCCTTCCTTTCCCGTGGGTATCGCCATAAACTAAAATTTCATCCCAACCATCTGGACGAGTGGCGGTCCTCCACCGTGCGTTTTTCAAGGCACTTTCTTCCACGCACAACCACTCTTTGGAATCAACTTCCAGCAGCAGTATTTCCGAACCGATACGACAACATAACCTTCAAGAAAAGAGCATATTCCTTTTTAAAAGGCCGGCAGCACACCTGCAATGCCGTAGGTGTTGTGGGTGACCATGGGCGGCGGTAGTCACTTACCATCAGGTGAGCCGCATGCTCGTTTGCCCCCTGTGTTGTAAAAAAAAAAAAAAAAAAAATCGTAAGAAGCGACTAAGTGAAGGCGAGAAATGGACAGCAGCGTCCCTCTTAAAACATCTCCAATACCTAACTGCGGTTGCCAATCCGCCTGCAAAGCGTGGCAGCTACTGGCGAAAACTCCCAAGAGGGAGGTCTGTGTTCAGCAGTGGACAGTAGACGGCTGATTTGACGTGATATGATAAATCGTAAATTGTGTTGCAACATAGAAAGTACATATTCTGATGTCTGCTGATGATTCTAAATCTCTTGAATAATAATAATAATAATAATAATTTATTTCAAAATAAATGTTACATTTTAAATATAGATAAAACTCTGCTTCCTAAATAGGTAAATCCTGTACTTTAGGATAAGCAGTGCTCTTCCCTATACGACATAATGACACAATATATATATATATATAATAAAACTTACTAATACAATAATAATTTAATTTGTCCAAATAATATTTTGTAAGTGAATCTTGACTGTCTAATTTGTGAGTGTATGTATGGAATGAATGAGTTATTGTAAAATGGCAGTCATAACCTAAGATACTACTAATAATAAATCTTCAGTTTCATCATATGTCTTACTTAATAGCCAATATTTCTTTTGGATATATGTTTAGTTTTTGAATATATAGATAATTCCTTATTTGCGTTTTTATATAAATATGGTCCCAAAAATAATCAAAACTTCCGAATAAATGATGTGTGAAATTTAAAACATACAATACAATATCGTTGCACACTCCACGTAAGATTGATACCTGATTCTATTAGACGCGAGATCTTACACTATTGGATGTTCTGTTGCATAATACAGTTAAATAATTTTTTTTTATAATACAGAGGGCCAACGAATATGCGGCTCACCCGATAATAAGTGACTACCGTCGCCCATGATTACACACAACACCAGAGGCAGGGGGGTAAGGGATTGTTAGTAATGGGGTTTGACAGCCCAATTGCTGGCAATATACTCTATCAGGTCGACCTCCTCGTGGTTCCCCCTAGAAACCATTGTGACTAATTCTTGTTGAATTCGTCACGATGGGCTAACAGACCGACTTCATCGTCACCTGTCATCACTCACTGATACCCCGCCAGTGTATACCGATAGCGCAGGCGGGATTATCATTCCATTATCACCCATTTTTTTTTTTGAGGGTGAAAATGGTATGGTGACCCGGCCTGCGCTAACGGGATACGCTGGCGGAGCACCAGTGAAGGGTGATAGATGAGAATGAAAACAGGCCAGTTAGCCCATCATGATGAATTCATCAGGAATTAACCATGATAGTTTCCAGGGAGAACCGCGAGGAGGTCGACCTGGTTGGGTATATTGCTAGCAATGGGATTCTCAGTCTCCATTACTAACAATCCCTTTCCCCCCATTATCATCCATTAAAAAAACACAGAGGCATTGCATGAGTGCTGCCGGTCTTTTATAATAATAAATAGAATTAAAAAATTACATCGAAGCTGTAATTTATTATGAATTTTCTTGATAAATATATTAACTGATAAGTTACAATTATTTATTATTAGCTATATCTCCACTGGATATAGCTTTGCCTTTAGGCTTTGCCTGTATTCGTTGGTATATAAAGTACCTTACGTGTTAAGTTAGGATATAATCTATCCGTGTACCAAATTTCATTCAAATCCGTTCAGCAGTTTTTGCGTGAAAGAGTAACAAATATCCTGCCTATCGTTGCAAACTCTGGCGAGTTTGTTATCTCATTACTCCGTCAGTTGTTAACCGATTTGGAGAATTATTTTTTTATCTGAAAGGACATAGGTACTTACAGAATAGTCCCGTAGAAATTTTATAAAAAAACGCTGCAGTAGTTTACTTTTATATTAATAGAACTGGTTATGCCACAATTGAAATAGGTTTTTTTGTTTTATCGGAACACAATCTTAAATTTGAATTTTTAACTACGATTATTGGACCTAATTGTTTCATAATCTTCATACCCTTTCCCAATTATTATTTGGGGTCGGCGTAATATATATATATATATATATATATTTTTATAAAAAGATTTGGCTTATAGTTTTACGACCGGCGTCTGCCTGAGGTCTACCCTCTTTGGGAATTGGACCTAGTTGTTTAGTATCACGAATATTATTGCAGGAACTAATGGTTTCCACTTGTTTTTCTCCATTACGACTGATCTTTAATTAGTAAAAAACAAAATCTCTGATCGCGTCTGTTTGTCTCTCTGGGTTTCACTGTAATTTTGATGTATTTTTACGGAAGGTTTGTATTTAGAATTATTTTTACTAATGCGAAGCTACGGCAAGTCACTAGTCCTGTACTACAAATGTGACATAACGAAAAATGTTTAGATTTTTTCAGTTACGCTCGAACGACCGAACGGAATTGAATAAAATTTGGTACACAAATAGATCATAATCCTGGAATTAACACACAATAATATTATTTAATTAAATCCACGCTGTCAAGCAGTATTCTGTTACAGATTGTGTTTTTGCTTTTCTTTTTTGTTTTTTACTTCCAACAAATGAAAGACCCTTTCGTATATTTATCTTTCTAATCTTACTCGTGCCACCAATTATGCGTTGCCACGAATTATTGCAGACACTAGGGGAGTTCTTTATAAAAAGCTGTGAAGATACAGAAATAAACTAATGGTTAGTTTCGTGTCTACTGCGGCATCAATGTTGGGATTTTGTATGTCCATTAAAATCAAATGGATGTAACTACTTGATAGATTATATAATAGATTAAAGAAAAACTGAAATGTAAACCGTTTTGATACTATGCGTGAGTCACGCTTGTCGATGTTTGTGTCGTATTTCAATTGGGCTTGAGAAATAATATTTTACTTGCACATGGTTATATTTAACTGAAAGCGACATCACTGTCCACATTATAAATACAAGCAAAAACAATACTGTCTGTAGCATGTTTAAATATAAAAAATCATGTTGACCTAACTCCGCTCATAATTATGAGACACGAATTCTCGTGATGATACTTTTAAACGTATTTTATACTGTCGTAACCAAGAAAAATCTCAACAAAATCATTTGAAATACCTTCCTTATACTTCCTACGATGTAATGTCCAAAAGTGACTCGTATTTTGTGTATATATATATATATATATATATATATATATAGTTTACGTTTATTTTTAATAACCAATATTTCGCAACACGTGAGGACTGTACGACAAAAGCGTCAATGCAGCATAATTATTTGTTTCGGCATGTTACAAATTATGATAACAGTACAAATGCCGTGTCAGGTGTCCCGCGCATGTCCCAACGCCTTCCTGCTGTATTTATATATCGACTATTGAAAAATAAACAACGCAAGCCGGTCGACGCCGCCGCGACACGGCCCAAGCGCATCCGAATACGCCACCTAATACTAATGCACAAGATTCCATTCCGAACACCACTGTATGAACACCAAGGACCAAGCATAGCACCAATAACGGACATTTATAGACTATACAGAAAAAAAATCGAGCAGACAGCTGTACCGCGCGTGTTATGACGCGCTAAGGAAAAAAGATTAAAAAGAACGTACCATTGGTAGCGGAAGGGCGGTGTGCCTGCCGGCAACGGGAGCACGAGGGCGGCGTCCCCGCCTGGGGCCGCCCTCACGGTCTGGAGACCGCCGGGGAAGGCCGGGGGCTCCATAGGGCTCCAGTCCGGTGCTCACGGGCCGCGCGCGCCTGGCCGTGTGCGCGCACCCACAACCGAGCGCGGTCTTTCTATAAATAATACGGAAAAATGTGATGCGTGCTCGCGGCGAATTTTGTACGTAGCGAATATTTTGCTAATGTCATGTATGTCATCAATGTAATATACTTACTGTTACATGCGATTGCAGGCTGCGGTTGCAGGGAAATCGGTTGTGTCCTTATTCTTTGTCCTTATGGGTTTGCACCTCCATTTTGTTAGAGGTTAGTCGGTGGGAACTTTCAGATCGCATCTATAATGGACTCGATTTAGTAACTACTCGCCTTAGAGATAATATTATGATTAACGTGCACTATAACATTTCATACGCTTGCAATCAAAGACATAAGATAAAAAAATTTAGACTGAAAACTGTAAATCTCGGTGATTACGTTTGAAATTTAGCAATGTATATTTTTCTACAAGCTCCATCCACGTGAATAAACTCTTTCTCGCTGTCCAGAAACACGAAGTCAGTTCTAACTAAAATTTAGGCTTTGCTGCTGTTTACTATAAAAAGTATCCTATGTGCATATATAGTGTTATAACAGTTGGACGGACACTGTCGCACCATGTCACAGTCGTGTTTCAACCGCGAAGCAGTTGTGTTTGCATAGCTGTGTTTCGGTTTGAAGGGTGGGATATGGCGTGAATTTACTGGGTACAGAGGAATAACACCTGAGTCCTCAAGAATGGCAACGCATGGGGATATCATGAGCGAAACAGTATACTCTGTTATGTTCATGGTGCTGCTCATGTCTATAGGCGACGGTTACCACTTTCCATCAGGTGGGCCGTCAGCTTGTTTACCATTCTAAGTTGTATAAAAAAAGAAATAAGGATTCCTTGAAAGAGTCCTCAACAATTATTTGCCATGACAAAAACCCTGACAACCACACTAATGGTCCAAACAATGCCCCTAGCTTGAAAGGATTCCTTTCAAAAGTAAAAACTGAATTACAATTATTAAATCCTAAAGTTAGTAAACTTCTCATAAGAAAGTTATAAAATTTAAAGTCATATCTATAACTAAGAATAATATAGGAAAATAATTTACATTATCTATTGGTTTCAATCCAGCATTGTACTCATTAAGGATAATCGACATAAACGAACCACTGGTCGTTTTTTTATGGATGATAATGGAATGGTAACTTCGCCTGCGCTACCGGTAAACACCGGCGGGGCACCAGTGGTAGATAATAGATGAGGATGAAAACGCAGGTCAGTTATCACATCGTAACGAATTCCACAAGAATTAACCATGATGGTTTCCGGGAGAAACCACGTGAAAGTCGACCTGATATGGTATGGTAAGGACCTGATATTACTAGCAATGGGACTATCATCATATCAGCCTTTATCTGTCCAATGCTGAACATAAGCCTCCCCCTTGAATGGTTTTTACCAGTAATTGCCACACTTGGCAAGTAGATTAGCAACCGCAGTTAAGCTTTGGAGATGTTTTCAGAGGGACGCTGCTCCCCGTTCCTCACCCTCCATATGCCTCTACTCTTTCCTGGGACCACACGGCAAGCAAAAAGAGAAATTTGTTTCGCTTTACCATACCATAGACCATTTACCAACAATTCCTTTCCCTCTTACCACTGGTCGTTTGAGTATACATTCCTTTATCTTGACTAAAACATTTCGTGTTCTACCATCAGATCCAGGGTAGGTCTTCATTACAAGAGTGGAATATGACAATGCTGGAGACTGACGCTAAGAACGAAAGAAGTTTAAAAAAAATGGGAAGCTTTCGAAAATTTATATACACTAAATGTATAAATAAATTTATTAAAAAAAAAACTAAATGACAGATGGGTATAATAAATTGAAATATACTGAAAAAAAAATTACGGCCATAGAGTTAACTCGGTTTCATAGAATTAATATAAAAAGATGACCTGTTTCTCTATAAGTGATAAGGCCATTAGAATAGATGTAGTGAGGTAAGGGATTATCAGTAATTCAGACTACTAGTTCCATTGCCAGCAATATACCCTATCAGGTCGACCTCCACGTGATCCTTCCTGCAAATCATTGTGCTAAATTCAGGTGTATTCATCACGATGGGCTAACCTGGCCTTACACCTATCATCATCCATTGATGCCGCGCCACCGTATACCGTTAGCGCAGACGGGGTTACCATCCCATTGTCATCTATAAAAAAAATATATTTGTCAAGGTTTCTTGCAGTGGCAAACAATTACTGTCGATGCATTCATTCCACTACACCATATCATTCAATACACTATACCATGTCATCCAATACACTATACCATACCATTCAATACACTATACCATATCATTCAATACACTATACCATGTCATTCAATCCACTATACCATGTCATTCAATACACTATACCATATCATTCAATACACTATACCATATCATTCAATCCACTATACCATATCATTCAATACACTATACCATGTCATTCAATCCACTATACCATATCATTCAATACACTATACCATATCATTCAATACACTATATCATGTCATTCAATACACTATACCATGTCATTCAATACACTATACCATATCATTCAATACACTATACCATATCATTCAATACACTATACCATGTCATTCAATCCACTATACCATATCATTCAATACACTATACCATATCATTCAATCCACTATACCATATCATTCAATCCACTATACCATATCATTCAATACACTATACCATATCATTCAATACACTATACCATGTCATTCAATCCACTATACCATATCATTCAATACACTATACCATATCATTCAATCCACTATACCATATCATTCAATCCACTATACCATATCATTCAATCCACTATACCATATCATTCAATACACTATACCATATCATTCAATCCACTATACCATATCATTCAATACACTATACCATGTCATTCAATCCACTATACCATATCATTCAATACACTATACCATATCATTCAATACACTATACCATGTCATTCAATCCACTATACCATATCATTCAATCCACTATACCATATCATTCAATCCACTATACCATATCATTCAATCCACTATACCATATCATTCAATCCACTATACCATATCATTCAATCCACTATACCATATCATTCAATCCACTATACCATATCATTCAATCCACTATACCATATCATTCAATCCACTATACCATATCATTCAATACACTATACCATATCATTCATTTCTTTATACCATATTGGTGCAGAACCTTAAAAAGGACACATTTAAATAGGCTATAAATAAAACAACAATGTACATTTAATGACGAAATTTAATTCCTGTGGTCTAAAATATATTTTTATAGTTACATACATATACACTGTGTTAAGAGGGTTCACTTTGGTAACGCCCGCTTTGTCTGACAATTCTCAAGTATTTCATTAATATTTTTGTATGATTATCCAAAAAGTAGATTTCCATTGCTCTTAATCCGTTATATGGCATACATGTATACCTTTTGTATATGTATACTGTTGTACATATAAAAGTAAAATATAGGTACTACTTAACATTTTTCTTTGGTTTATACATTTTGGCCATTAAATTCAAAATTTTTATTCATAGTTTGTTCATCTAGCACTTTGGTTCACTTCACTGTGACAACATTATTTAAAATGTCACGATCATGCCACAAAAAAAAATTAAAACACTGTCTATTTAAACAGAGTTTAACAAGACTCTGTATAAGTGATTAAATATTGTTTAGGCGGTATAATAATATTTACTTTTAAATTTATGTCTATAGATTCTATAGACTATTTTAATACAATTTCAATTTTAATAAGATAGACTTACTTTTGTTCAAACATAAACAGATGTTAGACAAGCTTTTATAGTGGGACATTTGAACATGTATTGAACACCTATCTAAGTTGAACTTGTGGTAAGAAGGTCAAATATTAATGATTGTTTACCTATGTAAATATCAATAGATTGAGAATATAAAATTGTATATCTGAACTGTTTTACAGTTTTACGGATGATACGGACGTTGCCAATTTTACAGTATAAATCTTTGCTTTTAGTTAACAACATTTTAAAATTCACAAAAATATTCGTGTTTTTAGAGTATATGTGCAAAACAAAGGTTTTGCCAATTGGATGGTTATTATTATGGTTAAATACAGTGAAACCTGATTAAGTGGGCTCAGGATATGTGAGAAATCTCTACTATGGGTAATTATAAGTAGTTCCCGACACTTTTACATTGAAAGACCTCTGTTGCTGGCACTTTTCAAACCTCATTAATTGAGATTTGATTTCATAGATGCTTACCTATATAATTAGACAGTTATAACTCAATAACCCGTATAAATAAGACAAATTATGAGAACTGGACAAGTTATGATCCGTTTGCTTACATTCTAATTTCCTCTGTACTTGCATTGTTTTTCAGTACTATCTAAAAGTTTGTGCTGAAACGAGAGTGTAATTCATTAACACTTGTAGATAAATTAAAGTTATTATTGGATTAAGGGTTTAGTAGAAAATTGCATGACAAAACGTGCTTGGAATTTGCCAAAACTCTTTATAGAATTATTCCAAATAATTCTCCAATAATAATAAGTTCTCAATATACTGATGGAATAGGAGAACTAAAATACGATCAACAGAGTAGATAAAACAGGTACAAAATAAAAAGATTCCAATAAACGGCTCTCTGTATATGGGACTACAGTCGTTTTAAACCTGCATATTTTGGAAACTGAATGAATGAAAAGCCTCTATAGGTGATAAAAAATACTAGATCCCTTGAGATCCCAATTATACAAGTTTCACTGTATACAAAACTGCACAAAATGTGAAATATTTATTAGATTGTGCGCCATAGATTAGTGGTACAGTAGCCCGTCTCAGTACACATCGAGAATTGTAGTCAAAAACATTTGTGTTGATTAAATGTTCAAAAAACATTTTTTATCAAAGTTAGCAATTTTAATTAACTATAGATTCATAGTAGTAACACAGTCTAAACAAGTCATTCTTACCAGTAGTCAAAGTGGTAC